TAAATATTATACATATGATGTAATTTTATCAATAATAAAAATGTAATACAAAATTTAATGTCAACCTAAAAACCAAACATTTTTTGGATCGTTGGTTAATGGTTTAGGTCAATAGATTAATTGATGATATGATAGTTAAATAATAAATATTTAAAAAGTATAAATAATCAAAAGAATGGGTTTGACAATGATATGAGAAAAATATGACATCCCAAAAACTTCGAACCAATCAACTAGAATTCTAAACGTGGTAGCCAATCAAGTGTTATTTATGAAAATTCATGGGTGGGTTTTGATTGATCAAAACTCTTCTAGTACCATATCTTTCCTGTATCATAGATTTTCCCCAAAAGAATATATAAAAATTATATATTAATTATGTCAAACAAAAATTAAGTGTGATAAGTAAAAATTATTTATATAATATATATGAAATATATAATTTAAAACTAATCTGAAAGAATATCTATTTTCTTATCTAAGTGATGGGTCAATGATCCAACTTTTCAAAGAAGTTCATGATGTCATAATTGAATAATAAATATTTAAAAAAAAATATTGAATATAAAAATAAAAATGTACATAGTTTTGTCAAAAGACATTTCAGAGCATTTCTAATGTTATATAATCATCATATTAAATAAAAATTATTTTTATTTAAGATAGAAATGGAACACAAAATTTATTACTACTACTAGTAGTAGTAGTAGTAATAATAATAATAATAATAATAATAATAATAATTTAAAATTTTTGCACGTGCATATTTAGTACAAGTATTTAAGTTTGTTTTTAGTTATATTGTTACTTTTATTAATTTTCAATTTATATCTTAACTATGATATATCTAAAATTCAATTAATTAATATGAAAAAAAATTCATATGTGCAACACATGTGCTTAATTACTAGTAAATTAAGAGATATTATCTAAAACTCACCGTGACTTCTTTAACATTTCTCTTGAACTTACCATGACTATTCAAAACCTTAAAAGAGCCCCCTATTAGTGAGTTTTATTGTCCAGAACTTACCTTCAATTAAAATTTCATTTTTATCACAAAATTACCCCCAATTGACTGGCTATTCAGGGGCAATTTGGCTAAGTAAAATACTCAAATGCTTATTTGAACAACTTCTACTTATTATCACTAATGGTGATCTAATGGAAATCTTAATGGAAGGTAAGTTTTGACAATAAACTCATGGCAAGGGGCTCCGGAGGTTTTGAAAAGTGATGGTGAGTTTAAGAGAAATCTGAAAAAGTTATGGTGAATTTTAGACAATATCCCATAAATTAAAATAAGAATGACCATCATGCTATATATTGTCAATAAAATTAAATAAATTGATTTTAAAATTATATTTCATTAACAAGATGAATTAAAAATAACTTATAACTTGAACTTATGAGTTATGACAATCTAGTAATACAGCATTTAAACTATGTTTACTAACAGGTACAGTATAAATTTTAAGTATATACAAGCATATATGTTTAAATCAAATCGAATAGATATTATTGGAATGGACATGGGTGGTTATGATATTTGATCCAATTATAAATGGATTGAATTCAGGTCACTCTTAATGAGATCGAATTTGAATTCAGACAAGCAAATACCATTTACAACCCTATGAATGAGTTGGGATCTACTCACAACAAAACCCTTTTTAACATTTGATCATGTTGGAAACATGGTGGACGCATTTTTATTGGAAACAGATCTGGACTCTTCCAAACATGCATGAAAATTAGGGATGATCATTTATGATATGCCCGGTCTACATGGCTTGCAAATTTTTGAGCCTAAGCAGCCAAATTTCTCCCAACCCAAGCAACCCAGACCTGTATCAAGCCTGCACGCACAGAATGCAGCCTGGCCCCACTTGGAGATTGTATGTCTATTTATAATGTCATTGTTTGGAACTGATTTTCCTTTTCTTGAAAAACGGCACCACATCAGTGCCACATCTTGAAAAATGGCACAACATCAGACCATGCTTGGTGTTTTCTCATTGTTTTACTATTAGCAATAATATGCTGATGTGGCATTGAAAAAAAAGGCCTATGTGACGAGCCCGGATCTCCTGCCCACGTCTACCCACAACACACTACCCCCCGTAAATTGGGAACATCTCCCCCTACATAATATTATGCAGAGGATGAGATATTCTCCATGTACAATTGTGATAGACGTGGACAGGGTTCTCGTGGGCAGGAGATCCGGACTTGTATGTGACACCAACCAGCATTTATCTCAAACAAAAGGAAGAAAATAACATGCTAATGTAGCATGGTTTTCTCAAAAAAAAACACCCCAAAAAATGGCATTGGTTCCAAAACATGGCTAATATTTTCTATAATATCTTACATATTATTGGCATAATATTTTATCAAATATAGTATATATGACATATATATAGCATGTATATATACATAATATGTATCTGTATCTATGGTATGTGGGATATGTATATATGGTATATATAATATTTTATCAAATATATATAGCATATATATGATACAATATATTAATGTACATACAATAAATTTTCAAATATATATATATATATATATTGTAATTTTAAGATTATTTTCTATAATATTGATGATAAAGTTAAAGTTAAACTTTATTTATTTTAAAATACAACTACCGTACATTCATACGGAGTAAACCCGATGCCCAGCCGAGACTGGGCCCAGACATGTATTATCAAGTAGGTCCGGAGTGCAGGCCGGGTTGGACCCAGACAGGCCTTAAAAGCCATTAGCACATTATAAAAACCCGACCCAGCCCGATAATCTCCAATGAAGACCCCAAGCTGACTAGATAGGATCATACATATGTATTGCAGAAAAGTATCTACAATTATACGTTGTATATAGTCGGAACAACCAAACCCTTTTATCTAATACCTATTTTTTCTCTTTCGTCTTAAAAAACAACGGAAAAGTACAGAGAGGCTTAATGCATATTTCTGATTCCAACCACAAAGTTATAAACAATCAGAAGGTCATAACCCACACTCTATGCATTTATACCCGCCCATGAATTGGCGTCAATTCCGACCTGGCATCTACCCCAAATGTATTTTGAGTCTATAAATTCTGACCCTGTGATTATTGGTCATTCTTCCTAAAAACAATTATAGTCGGTCTCATTGGATTAGATCTGATATGCCTTTCTCTGGCTGGGGCCGAGTCTTTTATGACCCAACCCATTGACAACACTAATTTCAATTGAAATAATTACGGGAAAGCAGTTTAACATTAGGATTCATTTGGTTCTCAGTTAGAATTCGAATCAAAATCCTTCTAAATTAGAATTGAAATGACCTATTTGATTTATATGGGAATTAGAATCGGAATTTAAATCAATTTGAATGGGATCTCATTTCCAAGAAAGGGAAAAGAATGGCCATTCCCTCAAATGACCATCAATGAAAATAAGATTCTAATTCTGTCCAATCAAATGGTTGGAATTGGAATTCTGATTCCAAAGACCCCTATTCCCACAAACCAAACAAGCCTTTGATCTCCACAACTTAATTCGAAACTCTGCTGAATTTGACTCAATTTGATCAATCTGGACTTCTTACTCGAAGAATAGAATACTCCCTCACACCGCACACCCACTTCAGTCCTTGAGGTTTGAACTTGAAAGTGGCTTTGGAAGCTGGATTTGCTCCACACGAAGCACTCCCCACACCAATCTCAGAGCACTCTCAACTGATACCGGATCTTCTGTCCACGCCTACCCACTATACACCCCCCCCGTGAATTAGAAACATCTCCCCCAGCATAATATTATGCAGAAGACGAGATGTTCTCCATGTGTGATTACAATAAACGTGAACAAGAGATCCGGCCTCCTTTCAGCCATCAGCCATGGAATTCGAATCACCTGCTAACAAAATACTTTTAGCACCTTTGCAACATGATTTGATACCATACATATCACACACATAGCAGAGGTGAGATGTGCGGTCCTAGATCGTGTTAATAGGGTGTTGGAAGGTGTTTTGTTGGTAGGAGATTCCACCTCTCACTTGCATGGGAAACATTTTCAATGCACGGCACGGCAGTAATGTAAGAGATAACAGATGCTCCTAATACACACTGCGATGTGCTGAGATTTTCTGTGAGGAATAGTGGGTCCAAGCAACTATGCAACAGTGGTCCCCCAGCTTTCCCACCAATCTCCTACGATGAGAGTTAATACTTTAGACTTAGAGCTTAGATATTCAGTGGTTTCCATTGGATACGTAGAGAAGATACAAGTGTACCCCACAGTACTGAGAACATCTCCCGATGATATACCTTTTGATGATATTAACATCGGGAGATATTTCCAATATACCACAGGAGATCCGGATTGGCGGGGATGTGCTGTAGGGCGGCCCCTTGTGGGGTGGAGATATGAACTCGATACAAGTGAGTGATAAATGTATGGAACAATTGAAGTCCGGATCTCCTGCTCATACAAACTCTACCCAAGTTTATTGCGGTCACACAGAGAGAATCATGCAAGGGGAAATGTTTTAAATTCACGGGAATAGTGTGTTGTGGGTAGAGTTTTGGTAGGCAGGAGATCCGGAATTGAACAATTGACGTGTCAGCATTTGCTCTGATGTTGTTTATTTGCCACACATGCACTGAGACCGAATCTGCTCCTTACAAAGGGTGCTTCACATCCATCTCACACTCACATTCTATCATGCATTAGGAACATCTCCCATATTTATAAATTATTATTCATTTGAGATGTTCCCAATGCACGGTGGATGTGCCTGTAGAGATTGGATTTGCGCCTCACAAGCACATCTTACCATACACAGGGAACATCTTCCGTACTTTTAAGTTATTATTCATGGGAGATGATCTTAATGCACGGTGGATGTGCATGTGAAGCGCCCGAGTGTGAGGAGCAGATCCCGTCTCGTGCCTGGAAGGCGCCCATATGTGAGGAGCAGATCCCGTTCCTCTTGCACTGCCCCTTCTTCTCGTTCTTGCTACGTGGCAACGACAAGCACCTCCTTCTTATGCCATGCCAAGAGCATCGGAGAAAGAGAGTCCTCCATTTCCATCAAATTAAGAAATAGAAATAAAACAACATTACGGCACAGGGCGGCGAGCCTTTCTGTGGTCGATGTGTCTCTGAATCTCACAAGTTTGTCATCATACTCGCTCTCTCTGCTTTCTCGTGGCATTTTGCGAGAAGGCGTGAGTCTTGTAAAAGGCACTGGAGTTCTTCTCCGCAGTATACTGTGCTTTCTATGGGCTTTGAGAGATTGGCTTTTTATCTAAACAGTAAGTCTTTAATCTGTTCTTCGCTGGAACTCGTTAGAACTCTTAGGAGTTTCATCTGGTGGAATTCTGAGACTAATGAATCTTGATTTCTATTCTTGAAAGTAATGAGTAGTAGTTGACACCACAGCATTTTATATGTTGTATATAGAATATGGCTCGTGGGTTTTCGTTCTTGTTTTATGACTATCTAATATTATGTCGCCGAGATTTTGTTTGCAGAGTTAGGTCGAGGTTTTTCATATCGTTTCTTCTTTTGTTTCATGGTGTCTTATGCAATATTGGTTTTTTTTCCTTCAATTGTAGTTACGTATAATTTGTTAATGGCATTCTCAGGCCTTTCAAGCGATGGGTTATGGATTTTGCTTGTTCCCTCAGTAGTAAGCTTTTTGTACATGGTTAAAAGACGCAATTGTGTTTTAGCAGTCATGCTTTTAGTTTTTTCTTCTATTTAAAGTTTTGCTTGGCTGAGGTCCATAAAAAACTTTTATGTTTGTCACAGTTATTGATTGCACTCAATTGTTTCTTCAAGATTTCAGCTTGGTTCTTAAGCTCAGATGGGCAGAATTTATTTTGAAATCTTGAGACTTTGGGTTTCTTAGTTTTGGTCGAATTTGTAGTCTTCAAAGGATGATGTATTGGTTTGTGTATGGATGCTTCTTCGGATTTTCTTTCTGTTTTTTTTTTTTTTTTTGCAACTTAATTTTGGTCTTATATTCAACAATCTGTTCATCTTGTTTGGTTTAATATTTACCTTAATCAATCAAAGAAATTCAAACGCATACCTAGTGGCTATGAGTTATTAGTTTGTATTATTCTTCTTTAATACTTTTAGTCAGGTTTTTGTGTATTCATGCGTTTGTAATTTTGTAGGCTTTACACCAATGCTTCGAATTTTAGACTCCCTATCGTAATCTTTTTTCAGTGATTTATTTTTCTTTACAAGTTACTTGTTTGTTGTTATAGAAACCTATTGTTTCATCAAAGTTTCCAGACTTCCTCCCTATGGTTAGCTAATTACTTTTGGTAGCTTCTTTTTTATTTATCCCAGGACACCATGAGTTTACAAACGCATAAGCCATTTCTTAATCAGTTCACATTTGTTTGTTTTTCTAGGGGGTTACTGTAAATATGTATTACTTTTTTTTCTTAAACAAAAAACAACTGCCATATCTGCAAAATCATATTGTTTTCGTGCATATTGCAGTTATTTTTGTTTTTAAATATAAAAAACATTCATATTGATAAACACACCTAATTTTTCTTGTTTTGGTACTAATTTTCTCTGAAGCTTAAGTTTAAGAAGTTTTTTTTTTTTTTTTTTAATCTTTAGACTGAATTGCTTTTTCCTCCATTGTAACTAACCTTATGTATTAACCAAAACTGATTAATTATTTTCTGTTCTCTGTCAGTTTGATAGCGACATTTCTTCTTTTGTCATGGGGCTTTTCAAAGGCTCTTATCCTGTGTGTCCTAGGAATTTACATTGCTCAGAATGGGCTAGGACCTACATGAAGTATTGTCTTTGCAGTGCGAAGGATGGAGCCTCTTTAACCCTAGGCTTGATTAGTGTCATCAGTTGGGGTGTTGCTGAGGTACCTCAAATCATCACAAACTACAAGAAAAAGTCTACAGAGAGCCTTTCCATTGCTTTCCTGATAACATGGATAATCGGGTAATCTCAGCAAAAGCATAGTCTCCATTAGTCCATTTATCTTGCATATTTGCTAAAGGATATTGTGTGTCTATTATACTCCTACAGAAGAAGTTTATTATTATTATTATCATTATCATTATTATTATTATTATTGTTATTATTATTATTATTATTATTATTATTATTATTATTCAGAATCAGAAAAGGTTGAAGGTCTGAGTCTTGTTTTCCTTTGCTAATCTCTCTCTATCTATCTATCTACAGCAGAAGTAGAAATATATATGTTTTTGTTTTTGTTTTTTTTTTTTTTTTTGCTTCAATTGAGTTAGGTTGCTTCTATGCTTCTTTTGAACAAACTTGTCATCAAATATAGTACCGTGAGATCCTTATTAGTTCTTTTCATTCATTCCTGAGGTCCATGGGACTTTTTTTTTTTTTTGCACTAGGACACCCATTTTAAGAGACTGAGACATGAAGAAATGCCCACTAAATAATCATTCAGTAGAAATTGTTAAAGAAAGTTATGGTTGAACATTTTCATGCTTGTCTGGGATTTTGTTCTTTAGTTGTTCAAGTCTCTTCTACCATTGAGTTTCCTGGAAAGCCATTTTTACTATGAGAAAAAAATTTCTTCAGACACTGATTTTTGGTTTATATAATATATATACATTCACCTTCATGCATCAAACATTAGTTTTATCCCTTCTGTGTTATCTTCAAAAGAGGCATGCTTTATTTTATAGAAATATAGTGTAGTGAATTTCAGTCCAAACTCTTCCAATGTTATTTTTGATGATTTGAGTTTATCCAACCTTGAATGCCTATTTAGTGTTTTTGTGTTATGAAATGTTTTGTTATACACTTACTCCTCATATTCATCTTTAGCTTTCATTTTTAAAGAAAATGTATTCTTGTAACTATCCCTTTTCAGTCCCTTCATTATGGGCTTCCATGGGTTGTGTATTCTAAAGACTCTGTATCCATAAGTTGGTTATTTGTCTATAAAATCTAAAAGACAATTCATCAACTTTTCACATACATTGAACCAAAGATCACATACTTTGCTTGAGAGTAGTCAACTCCTCATATAGATCATCTTTGAAGTCTTGATGGATTTCTTGCAAATGCCTCCACCTCTGCCTATGTAGTAATAGGATCTTCACCTCTATTCTCAAGTCAATTGTTTAAGAGTTCTTCACCATACTTTGGCATGACCTGTGAGCTTCAAACTTGCAAATCTAATCCTTTGTTTATTGGAAGTATCATACCAATCAAAATACTCCAATTCAGCTAAGCAATCAAACTTGTGGATCATTATCTCCCTTGAATTCTGGTATGTCCCTTTTTCTTCCAACATTCTTCTTTTAAGCATTCTTTTTCTTCTTCTAACATTCATTTTTCGATAAATAACTTAAATTTTATTAACAGACTTAATATAACACCTTTACAAGCATCCCTTAGAGAGGCATGAGCTGCTACCTCATACAATAAGCAGATTACACTTGTGCACTGATAAATAACTTAAATTTTGTTAACAGACGTAATCATCCTTGCTGATCTCACCCATTGTATCCTCAAATTCATATTCCTGGTTATCCATGTAAATCTTTTCATTTTACTCCTGTAGCACCAAATTATAGACTCTGGATTCTTTAGCCATTCTACCACCACTTTCGAATCCCCTTCAATCACCACATTTTTCAAGTTTAGCTCACTAACGATCTGAAAGCAGTTCCACGTTGAGGGAGACGCCCATACCCATAGGGCCAGAAAAGAGTGCTATAAATTTACCTTCTCCATCTCTCAAAACTCCTCCTATTCCAGAAGGGCCTGGGTTACTTTGGCTATTTCCATCAAAGTTCAGTTTAACAAAATATTCTAACACTCTTGAAAACCTTACTTCTATAATTGACATTACTAGATCTGTTTCTTCTACTATCTTGTCAAAAAATTCAACCAGAAACCCTTGGTACAATTCAGGAAATCCGATCATTATTGATTCTATATTATCTTCAAAATAAAATCATTATTGATTCTAGACCCATACGTTTTTTTAGAAGAAGCCCCATGTCTGCAGAATCAGTCACTTTGTGGGAACATAGTGATGAACTAATATCAATTTGCTAAAATTCATTGACCCTCCATATGTATCCTCATTGCAATGCCAATTTAGATATGGATGTTATTTGACTCAGTCAAAATCTGATGCGTTAGGTGTATGCTTAAAGATTTGGCATCCATCCCTCAAAAAGAAAGTAAATGATCTGCTACCTGTTGATAGGGGCAAAAGGATATACAGATTGAAAAATGATTCATTTTGGATGCATCCTAAGCTTGTTAATTAGGCTGCATTTGTTTGCGGTGTAAATGCCAGACTGGTATAATATTACACTCTGGTCCAGTTTTGCAGCTGTTTGGATGGAGTGTAAAAGATTAACGAAAATCGGTGTAAAACTCCATCTTGAATGACTTTTAAATTGATAATCGGTGTAAAGAATACATAGAAAAATTGATGTAAAAGTACTCCCACTCATTATAACGTCTCTCTCTCTCTCTCCACTCTTCTCCTCTGATAAAACCCTCATAAACGAAACTAAAACTCTCTGATAAAACCCTCACAAGCAAAACTGAAACTCAACATGGAGGTGGTGATGCGGGCACTGGCACTGCTGAATATGGATTTCAACTTTGACAGCGCCTGCTATTCTCCCTGCAGTAGCACTCCTTCCAGCCCCAAACATTTCCGTGAGTTCTACTTCAGCACTCCAATGAGTTCTACCAGGGTTGCTACCATCTACAGTGAAATCAATGATCATTTTGTGACTAGGACCAATGACACATACAAAAGAGATGGGTCTTCTTCTACTTCTACTACTACTACTACTATCGTCCCATTTGATTGGGAAGAGAAGCCCCAAGAACCCAAATCCAACAATAGCAATGAAGACGACTTTGCCTTTGATTTCAATGGTCAGTTAGAGAGAGACTCTCTCACCGTTGATGAGCTTTTCGATGATGGCATCATCCAATCCCTAAAATCTCTGTTGTGGTTATGTTCCTGACGGAGTTGATGAGTCTTCCACACGGAAGAGCACTACTTCATTGTCAAGGGCCTACACGTCCCTGCTTCAAAATTTTCCCACAGAGAGACCAGATTGATCTAGCCATTCAGGTTTCTGAGTTTACTTGGGAAAGAGAACAACAGCAAAGCACCAAAACCACTTCCTCGAATTCGAAATCCTCCTCTTACTCTTTGTCATGGTTCTGCATGGGCAACAAGAAATGGAGATTGAAAGATTTTCTGTAGTTCCAAAGCGTATTAGAAGGTTGAATGACGAATAAGGATCCTCTGTTTTTCCGTTGATGGGTATTCTCCAAACGTTAGCAAAAGTGCAACATGTATTTTACATTGATCATCCAAACATGTTGGAGTGTTAATGGGTGTAAAAGCCAGTTTGCTTTTTACACAAAAAAACCAGATCATTGGTAAACTCCATGGTGTAATTTTGTATTTATGTTGCAAACAAATGCAGCCTTAGAGACAATGGTAACTTGTTTAGACACCTTGATCCATCCCTAACGATGGGCTACATTAGGAAAAGGCAAAGTTGAAAAGATAAAAAACTAAAAACAAAGTAGAAGAAGAAAGTAAAAACTGACACTAACTTGAATGAATGCAAAAAAATTTTCTATCAATGAACGAGATGCAGAAACACATACCAAAAACACAATATAATACTTTGGAGATGAAGGATGGAAAATGTTGGAAATGATAAATGCATAGAAAAGAGCAATCTACACTGAAAGAGTAAAAGAAAAGACAATAAAATCCATTCTCTACTCTCTTGGCTTTCATACTTGCTACTTCTGCAGATTCTACTTGGTTTTCTCTTGGGAGGTTCTTAGACATTTATTTAGAATAATTGCTAAGATTCATCTGGGGTGGGTCAAATACAGCTACATGGTAAGAAAGAAGAAAAAACAAAAAAGGGGAAAAGAAAGAGTAGAATAAAGCTACTTGTGTAATAAAAAGCATTAGGTAGACATCAATGTCCATTTCAGAGAACCATTCAACCTAAAAGCTTAAGCTGTTAGGTGAAGTCCTTGAATAGGTTTTATTCTCTAATAGGAAGATTTTGGTGGGATGGGAAAGGATGGGATGAGAAAGTTAAATTGAGTGCAAAAACTTCATATTTCATTGTTTAAAGAAAAAACATTGGGAATGCCAGCCCCGATAACAAAGAAACCGTGTTTCCAACCTATGGTAGGATTGAGTGACCTGTCACTTGGCCTGAATTTTTGGGTTAATTTTACCACTGAGCTGCTATAAAAAACTGTTGACTTGGTCAACAACCCAGGGACCCGGCCTGTTGAACTGCTGAACCATTTGACCTGGCAGCAAGTCACTAGTTATATATTTATTCTCTTTTTTCAGTTTTTTGTATTTTGTGTCATTTCCATTATTAATAAGCAATAATTATTGTTTATCACTTATTTTTTATATGATTAATACATAATATTTGAGATATGCCCAATTTGTCTGCAAAAATTCTGTATTTTCTATTTTTTGGTATTTTATCTATTTATTATATCTTATAACTTAATTATGACATCATAGGTTGGCCCATTTGACCTGTGTGATTGAACTATTGAACTGTTTGACCTGATCATTATGTCACGGGTCAGATATTAATTCTCCTTTCTCTATTTTTTTCTGTTTTTAGCCATTTAAATCATTAATTAAAAATTATTCTTATTTGTCACACTTCTGTTTAATGTGATTAATATTAATATTAAAGATATGCCCAACTTTTTTCTACATAATTTTTAATTTTCTGTAGTTCTTTTGTATGTTATCTATTTTTATATTTTTATTACTTAAATTATGACATCATGAGTTGACCCGTTTGACCTAGACTCTTGTACTATTGAACCATTTGACACGGTCAGCTGGTCACGAGTCAGATATTAATTATCTTGTTTTTTGTTTTTTTTTTTGTATTTTAGCCATTTTCATCATTAATAAAAATAATTCTTATTTATTACACTTAATTTTGTTTAATATAAAGAATGTAACATATTGGAGACAGCCAATTTTTTTCTATAAATTTTTTGTAGTTTTATGTATTTTTATTTATTTTATTATGTTTTTATTACTTAATTATAATTATGATTTCCTATGTTGACCCATTTGACTTGAATGATTGAACTTCTGACCTGTCACCTGGATGGAAAAGTGGTTTTTATTTTGGATTGGTTTAAATAATATTACAAAGAATATCTTTTTTATTTTTATGTTAGATGAGTACTTGACAACTTCCCTTCTTTTTTCACTTTCTGACACCAGAACAGTGTGACCCCACTTCCCGAAAGACGAGGATTGTAATCCCAGCTTTTCACATCCCATCTCATGACGTCTCAAAAGCCTTTATTTTTAGGGGTTTTTACCGTTCAGTCCACCCCTAGAAACCTAGTGCTCCACTCTAGGGGTGGACTGAATCCTAACCGTGGATTGATGCCAGATCCATGGGCAGGATGCGGTTTGGGGGGGCTGCAATTCAGATTTCTGAGGGGGATTGCAGTCCAACTCCCCTTCTTTTTTAATTTTTTCACAAGCACACCAGAACAGTGTGACCCCACTTCCCAAAAGATTGAGGATTGTAATCCCAACTTTGCACATCCCATCTCATGAGTCATGACATCTCAAAAGCCAAAAGATGGAAGGGAAGAATATTCCTTTTTTCCCCCTTTTCTTCCCACAAACCAAATGCAGACTTAGGGTAATTGCTAAGGATTTATTTGAGGTTGGGACAAATATGGCCAGAAGAGGGAAGGAGAAAGAAAAGAGAAAAAAAAGAAAAAGAATAAAAACAACGTATGATGACTTTTGTATCCAGACAACCCTCCCATTCTCTGCTGATTCATTCTTTCATTGGGCTATTCATCCTGTGCTTCCACTCCACATCAACCAAGGTGCTTGATAGAGGCTTTTAGATGCCTCTCTCAATGTCAGAATGAATTGGAATAGACCTTGGATTAGTTTTTTCACCTTTACAGTCCCTATTGGTCACAATTTTTTAATGTTAACTCTTCCACCCTTTTCACATTCTTCTTTTCCCCTTTGAACTGTTTGACTAGACAGTGTCTTAGGAGCAATTTCCTTGCCTCAATCTGATAACCTGTCTCCGCCACAAATGTGTTGCCATTCCAGTGGAAGTGAGCATTTTCTTATGCCAACAAAGCTCTGTTTCTTATTACATCTAAACAAAGTACCTTCTCCAATCTTGCCAGTTCCATTTTGTGAGTTCACTTTTCTGGTTAGTCTCCCTTTAGCCATTGACTGCAACGGCCATGCTTTGTGTACCCATAATTCTCTTTGTTGGATGTAAACAAGGTGGTCTGAAGTAATTGGAAAGAAATAAGAGACCATCACACTTTGAATTTTGATATCTTCCTTACTAAGCAGACTGCACCACATTTAGAAATCAACTCATTTTGAGAGAGGTACATGGTGGTAAGACCCATGGTCTTGGTTTTCCTTTTTATTATATGAACATCTAAATTATTAATGTAAATCCTAGTGTTTTGTTTTGGTAAGACAATAGGCTTCTGCATGACTTTGGAAATAGACAAGTGAAAAAAATAAACATTAAAAATGAAAGGAGACAAGATTGACTGATTTAAAATTGTGCATTGTTTTTTTTTAATTAATTTTTACTTGTATATGCATAGTGGGGTCCTTTTTTTGATGAAAGCTTTTATATACCCTACTCAAAATGTAATTGTCAAAACTACAGAGTTGAAATGAATTTACATGCCCTAAAATAGAGTATTTTTTGTTTAAGAGTTTCACCTTTATTCTAGTGACTAAAAAGTTCATATTTTGTTGTATCTAAGGTTGCTTTTGTCTGTTGTGTGAATTAGGTTATGGTATAAAAATTGTTGTGCTGTTAAAAAATATTATTACGTCTCCTGACATTTTTGTATACCCTATGTTGCAGAGATCTTTTCAACCTTTTTGGCTGTTTGCTGGAGCCCGCTACCGTGAGTTTATTTTTCTCTTTTTTCTTGTTTGAAACAATGCTTAGGTTCAGGACTAGGCACTTAATTGTCAGAGAGAGAGAGAGAGAGAGAGAGCAACATGTTCTGATGAGTCATGATAGTTGCAAACAAGTTAAAAATCGGTATTTAATTGGAGGTGAGCTATGCAATCATGTTTCATGTGACTAGCTGAATAAGTAATAACTTTTGTTCTTGCTACATACTGGATTAGTATAATTTTTCTTTGTTGTTTATGTTGCCACAAAATTTGATTGTTTTCTGAATGCATCATTGATAATCTGCTTTTGATTCCATGAAATGTTGCATTTCCTATTGGAAAATTTGCAGCCTCCTTGGTTTTGGAATCCATATATGCTTAGGGACCATGGCATAATGCTAGTGCTTTAAAAGGTGGGCTTGAGGTGTACCTAGGTTCAAATAGGAGGATCATTTTGTGGAGTTTCTTACCTAGCTCATTGTTGTGTTTTTATCAATTCAGAGAACTGGACTGGGCATAGAACTGGAAAGGGGAGAGGTCAGAAGTTCAGTTGTGGTCAAACCGAGGGTTGAACTATGATGACCTGGCATATATATATATAATATAATATATCTATATATATAATATAATATATTATACAAATAATATCATATTTGAACATGGTGGATAGATGGCTAGTTCTTTAATTTTTTAAGCAATTTACTACGGTTTAAACCTCCTAACTCGTGTATTCAAGCAATATGTGCATTAAAGATTCATAAATGAACACAAATGATGAAGTGGATTAATGGTAACAAGACAATATGCATGGAAAAAAGGTCATGGCTTCAAGTTTTGCCATTTGCATTTTGAAAATTCCATACATTTGAGACCCAGGCGGGTTTTAGGAAATCGGACTGGTTCACCAGTTTTATGTTTAAATCTGTCGGTTAGCTGGTTTGGAGAGCTCCTGCCTCTTTTGGTTTCTAGGGCATAACCAAACTGGAAATAGGCAAGAGTAATGGGTTATAGTTCAACCAGTTGGACTGTCCGGTCTGGTCTGGTTTCCTAAACATGGGTTTCTATAAACTAGTCTTGAATTTGATTTTGAATAAGTAATTTGCTATATTGTAGGTTGTACATATGATACTTAAAGTCAAACAATTTAGTTTGTGGGGTTTGAATGTGCAAGGCTACATTATTTGTATTAATGTCATGATTCTCTTAACCAATTGAGCAAATTGGCATTTTGATATTCTAGTTTTTTAGAACTTAAATTTGAATAATTTCGTATATTAAATTTTTTCAATTTTCTTTTCAAAAGTGGTGCCTCCATTCAGGTACATGCCTAGCCTTGTGCCTCTGGCTCTAGTTGCGCTTTAGTTCACCGTTTCTTTTAATATAGTGCATAGTGATCTGGGACTAGAATCTGGCATGGATTATTATATATGGAAGTGCAAACTGGTTTTGTTTTCCTATTATATTATAATAATTTGCAGTTATATGACATAAAATGTTATGTGCTAACTTCTTCTGTTTGAATTTGCAGCTTCCAACACAATACTATATGGCAATGGTAAGAATTTTTGTTGCCAGTTATTAATCACAAATTGCCACACATTTGCAATGTCAACCATTAAATCCAGCAGTTGATTGTTACTGTTGTGGTCTGCAGTTGTACACATTAACGACCCTGATTCTTGCTTTGCAAACTATCTATTATAGCCGCATTTATCATCTTCTAAAATCCCATAGACATGGTCATAAGGTCAGATTCTTATGAGTTGTCTTTTTCCTGGTTGTATTATCTATTTTGTTCACGTTTTTTGTCTATTGCTGAACTCACAAATAACTAATGCTTCTGAAATAAGAATGATGACCTCCATCTATAGAAACTGAAACAAGAAGAATGAAATTTCTTTTCCTTTTCTATGTGGTAAATGAATAGCATAGAAGTGCTAAGGGGTTCCTAAATGGCTTTGATAAAATTAAGGAATTTTTCATTTCTGGATTAGGTACCATCTATTAGTTTCTGTGAATTTGTAGGCTTATGGCTTTGTTGAGGTATAGATTCTCTAAGTGGTGTATAATACTATAATATTGTAGAAGATGACGAAAGTTCTTCATTACCTTGCTTTCTTGAGGCTATCTTAGATGGTCACCATGCTTGTACAAAAAGGGTGCTGATCTAGGTGACAAAAATCAAAGGGTAAACACTTCATTGTAATATTATTTGTTTGATGAATAACAGAAAACTTTTAATAAGAGATAAAATTAAATTACGAGGAAACAGCCGTCTCAGAGGTTGAGATGGCCTAACCCAGAGCTGTTCTAATCAGAAAAACAGTAGATCAAGTAGAAATCCCATACCCCCATAATAGATTCTCTCTTTCTATCCTTTGTCTTGCTAACTCATATGCCAACCTATTGGCAGCTCTGTAAACTCAATGAACAGCAACAAGTCTGTCTCATTTTAGCTCATTGATCTCTCTCATAAGGTGTCTATACTGTCATGGGCACTTTCCTTCATTTTGTACCCACATCACTTTTGAATCCCCTTAAATGATGATATTGGTGAAGTTGCGATATTATTACCATGGGCACTTTCCTTTATTGTAATATTATTGCCATGGCTGAATCTCATTATTAATGTATGTCACTTATATTTTGTATAAGGGTTTTACCAATTAAAGCATATAAGGTCCAAGGTTTCTAAGAAAAGAAAACGAATTAAAGAAAATATGGAAAACTAGTCTTTATTAATACAAAAAGGACTTTGTATGCTGTTCTTTTCCCCTTTTCATTACTCTCTAAAAGTCTGTGATTAGTAGAAAACTAAAACTTCTTTAATTGCTAATAATTTCCTAAAGTGCAATTTCTCTATTAAATATATTGAATGATGTTTCAATGAGTGAGGAAACTGGCAAGTGATACGATGCATAGAAAAGGAGGGAGACACACTTGGGGATTGCAGTTCCAACAGAACATCAAGGGGGTTGAAGCAGTATCAAAACCAATTGGTTAGTGGTTAAAAATATTCATTGACAAACAATGAAGCAAGGGCTGATGCAGTATCTCACATCACCTGACCTCCATGAGATCATGAAGGGAGAGGGCGAGAACTGGTCATACGGGGGGAGGAAAATTTGGAAGGTTTGTAAGAGGTAACAGTGTTGATCCTGCTATTGGTGCTGGAGCAAGAGGGGAGGGGGACTAGACTTCTTTTACAGAGCGTGGAGTAGATGCAAACATGCATTTAATAAATAGGATGCCATCCAGAGTTATTAGTTTCCAGTCTTCTTTTAACTTGGACTACCTTGGTTAGTTCTCTACCCATCTACCCTTGAGAGTCTTTGGGTGTTACTTTCTTCATGATTTGAGTTGCTCACGGCCTAAATCTGATACTAAATATATTTATTGTTTTTTTTTTTTATAATCAAGTGCCCAGAAGGGCTACAAGTGCTGGATCCCCAATTTGGTAAGAAGTATGTTACTAGAGAGATCTCATCCTTTGAAGCCACTGCTTTCATTCTTAATCCTTCTCTTCAGGGAGAGAACACAGGTGAAGAGAGTGGGTTCTTTTCATATCCTCTACCAACTATTTGTGATTGCTCTTCTAGTGGCTCCTCTTTTTGGTTCAACTACACCTAAGGTGCAACACAAGAACTTGCGAGTATATCCTGAATGCCAGAAGGTTTCCTTGAAGATATCACCTTCACAACCATTGGATGACTCTAATTTGGGTTTTTTAGGTAAAACTCAAACTAATCCTATCTCTATTCCTTCAATTGATCTTGTCTATCCCATCTGTTGATTCAAATACTCACATACCCATTACCTTACACAAGGGTAAGACTTAAGAGACATCATACCCAGTCAACCTCTAGTACTGCTTACCATTTGTTAGACTGTGTTTCGTATAGTGCTCTATTTGCCTCCTATTGTCCTTTTCTTATTGCTTTATCTTATGTTTTAACCCCTAACAAGGCTATGTTACATCCTAATTGGAAGAAGGCTATGCGGCATGAGATGCAAGCCCTTATTAAAAATCAGACCTGGGAACTTGTGAAGCTACCTTAGGATAAGGAACTAGTGGGATGCAAATGGATATTTAGTGTGAAAAGACACTTAACTCCTAAACAACTCTAATAACTTATTACTGATCCCACTACCACTGACTTTAAAGACACACCAGAAATTACTAAACATGGTAAATTGTGAGTTTATTAAAAATATTAATTATGAGAATTACTATAAATAGTTTTGTCCCTCCCCAGACCCCACATTGGCAGGATCCTCATGCATTGGGCTGCCCTTTTAATTACTATAGATAGGTCAGAGAGTTACTATCAATAGTAATTTCGAAATAGCAAAAAAAAATCTAAAAAAAAAGAGTCCTATTCTTAAGATACCCACAGATAGAAAATAAAAATTGAAACAAATATCAAAATCCTATAACCAAGGTTTACAGTATCGATACTCCTGATATGCACAAACAGGTGTATCGTGTGTTTCGCACTTATCAACTTTTCTTTTTAGTTTATTTTTTTTTCAAAATTGCATCAGGGGTTGGTTTTAAGCATGCCTACGGCTTACCCCCCTGAAAATGGTCAAAGTCCGAAACACTGGACTGCTCCTGACGCAATACGGTACAATACACCCAATATGAGTTATATCGTATCGAAATTTTGACCCTTGCCTATAACCTAAAAATACTGAAATAGTTTTAGGAATTGGAAAATTGGTTTGTTTCTCCACAAATTCTTTCCCTTGCTTCTGCATCATCATTACTAAGCTTCTTGATAATTTGTTCAATCAATGAAACCTTTTCTGTGTTTCTGATAAAAAAAAGAGGCTGGAAATTGTAGTCAGACGCTCATGATTGGAAATTGTAGTCACTCTTGTCAACCATCCCAAGAGAGAAGATATCCTTTATATTAAAAGATGGAGAAATTACAATATTACCCTTCTGGTACAGCACATACAAAAGTTAGTGACAATGCATCTGGATGTACGGTAATATTGTATGAGACTCTTATTTTGTATACCTTTCCTGAAACTTCTGTAGGGACAATATCAGTTAATATGAAACTAATGGGATGTCCATGTCATGGCTTTTGTAAAGATATATAGCCGATGATTTGAAGCCACACATGAAGGAGAGTGATGATCTTTGTTAAAACTATATCACAAATAAAATGACAGTCCACCTCAATATGTTTAGTGTACTCATGAAACACTGGATTTGAATCTACATGCATGGAACTAATATTATCGGAAAGAAGATGGATGGGAGAGGATGAGGTGATGTCAAAGTCGTATAGAAGTCCGCTAGACCACATATTTTCACATGTAGAAGAAAAGAACAATGCCTTTCTAGCAATGATTTTTTTTACTACCTGTTGCTTCTTACATTTCCAGGAGATGAGAGTAGCCTAAAAATATGCATCAACTGGTGGCAGATTGCTATGTATCTGCTATCTAGGATTCCAGCCTTGTATGGGTGTTACCTGTGCATGATTTGCAGTTTTTTATCAATAACAGGATTTCAATAGGATTAATATGGAAATAATACAGGAGAGATAAACTTTCTTAGCTCTCCATAGTATAATTTAGCTATTATAATTGAGCCCAGAACAGATTATTCCTTCCCACCCCTTGCTTTGCTAATACATCAGCAAATCCATTCGCCGTTCTTTTTATCCCATTAAACTTCACCTCCATATTTTGTGTCAAGCACTTTAACCTTTTTCTTTTCATTGTTAAAAATCCAAAAACCTGTTTCTTCCTTCTGCAGTCACTCCACTACCAGATTTGAATCACCTTCAATAATCAGCTTTCTTATATTCATGTCCTTTGCCTTTTGCAGTCCCTCCATGGCAGCCAACACCTCAGCCCTTGATGAATCACCTACTCCAACTGGGCCTGAAAATAGGCCAACAGTTCTGCCTTCATTGTCTCCAAACACCCCTCTAATACCCAAGGGACCTGGATTACCTGTACTGTTTCCATCAAAGTTTAACTTTATGTAATCATTTACAGGCGGAGACCAAATAGGGCTTGTAGTAGATTTATGATACTCAGAATTGTCCACTTCCTTCCGGCTTTTCAGGATATCACTGGCTGAGCATGCAGCAAAAATCTCCATAGATTTTACCAACTGTATCACTCTGACCATTATTGTTCCTTAGATATCTTCTTGGACAGCTCCCTTGTTTCCTCCATTCCTCGCATTAACTAAGGGGCTCTACTATTTTGTGGATGAAATCATTAAAGCTCTTTGATAATTCCTCGCATTAACTAAGTAACTTGGACTCCACCGATGGAAGGTTTTGTTAAGCTGAACTTTGGCGGAAGTAGTCAGGGTAACCCAGGTCTGTCTGGGATTGGTGGTATACTTAGAAATGAGAACAGCAATATCATTGCCTTTTTTTCAGGACCGGTGGGAATAGGACACTCTGTGAGGGCTGAACTCCTAGCCGTGGCACAAGGGATACAGATTGCTTATCAACTTGGAGTGCAGAACTTAATAATTGAAGGAGATTCGAAGGTGGTAGTAGGATGGTTGGCTGATCTGGGTACTGTCACTTGGGAGTTTAAGGATATTTTAAAAAAGGTCAAATAGCTATTAAGGGACATTACAGTCAGATTTCAGTGGTTGGGGAGATCGGCTAATGCCTTGGCTGATTGTCTTGCTAAACAAGGGGCTATTTGGGTCTCCTTATATTGGTCTTCTCTGTAATGTTCTTATTGTTGTATATCAGCCTCTCTACACTCTTCAAGTAATTTTGTCTTGTGCTTCAATGATTGCAATGCTCTTGCAAAGTTGCAAGAAGTGTTGATTAATGAATCTCTTTATGTGTCTGCCAGTCTACCTCTATATATGTCATTATGAGTAGCCATGATAACAGCCTATGTCTTTAGCTTTGGTACCCATTGATGTAGGATTGGAATGACTCAATGATGAATGTAGGAGGTAACTATGTGATAGGGAGAGTTTCGTAGTGATTTTAGGACTAATAAAGGGTTAAAAGGGGTTTAGAAAATGTTCTCAATTTTATTGTTGAAATCTATAGGTTCTCTGTGGTATGATGAAACAATAGAGAATTAAAAAATTAAGCATAGGAGTGGAAATATTTAATCAAATTCTGTAGAGATAGAATGATGGATGGGATGGATTGATTTAATTTGATAAAATGACAGCATCCTGAAAGGTTTTCCACAAAAGAACATATGTTTCTCCTTGTGAGAAAAGATGCCAAATTGTTGGAAACTATGGAATTGGGTTGTTTTTTTAAATGAAATTTGGTAGGGTGAAAGGTTGTTAAGATCTAGTTATCAAAAAAAGAAGAAAAAAGGACAGTTGTTATGATTGATGGGGATGTCCAAATATGAGATAAAAAGGAGATGGCTGAGTACAAAATTATGAAAATGGTTGAACAAGGAAAGTTTCATGCTTCAAGAAAAAATCACCTGGATTAATTCCACTCTTTTGAGAATGAATGGCTTTTGATGATCTTATAATTGTTGAGGGCTGTAAATGTTTCTTGTAAAAATAAAGAGAAGATAGATAGAGAGGAGTGAGATTAAGAATTTGGAAACATTGAACTAGGTTCCTAGAATTACTTTAGAGCATAGGAGTCACCCGCTACATGTTGCAAATCTGTAGGCAATCAAATAAGCTCCATTCATTCATGTGTAAAATGACCATATTTGTTTAGTAACTAAAGGGTTGATGGTTTCCTCCATCTCCCCTCCTTAAAGGGGAGGTAGCATCTCGTGCCTCTCCCTAAAATGTACCTTCTTTGGCTTTGAATTAATAAATCTTACAATTCACTGATAAAAAAAATGACCATTCATATTTATTACTATAGACCTATAATATCCAAGTGGAACTCAAGAAAAGAAAATTAAAGAATTGCCACTATCTGATTTTAATTCATGGAAAACTTAATAACTCCTATATTATTTATTCAATGATTCTGAAATTTTAAAGACAAAACAAGTATAACTAATTAACTAGAAAAGTCCAACTCTATGGTTGGAGACCATAGGCAAATTGTGAAATGACAAAAATGCCTTTTTCTGTCAAATTCAGCTCAAATCACAAGTACCATCATCATGCCACATCAGGACCTGTTCTTAGGTAGAAAAATTCTTCAGGAGTGCTAGTTGGTCCATTTCATATTGGAGTGCGTTAGCGCCCATTGTTACATTTCTTTCTATGCCTTTTGTTCTTTTACACTAGTTTTCTTCATGTTTCTTTCACTTAGTGTAGCTATTTTGTTTTCATTCTTTCTTGTTTTTGTTCTGTTTTGGCTCATTTTGATCTATCTATCTAACAATTATCTTTTCTCAATTTCCCTTTCATGTATCCATAACATGATTTGTTTACTTGGTCTGTGAATGCAGAGCCCCATACTCCCTGAAATTGATGCAGTTGATAAGGAACATTATACTAACAATTTTGGCAAGAAACAAAGCGCACTTGGTGATAGAGGAGTTTTGCCAAGTTCACCAATTCCTGTTTCTGTTCCGAGTCATTCTCGTGATGGTTCTTGCGGGAGAGAGTTGTATTACATGTAACTGACTCTTGTCCTTGGTGTTTTAAGCAGACAAAATTGTGTAAATTTTTTCTACCATCCTCTAATCCTCAGCCAAATTATTTCTGGTTGGATGTAGGAATTTTGCTATGTCACCCAGGCTGTTAGGTCTATATTTTCTATTAAAGCATGTTTGGCATGTTTTCTCTCTGTCAATTGATGCCTTGTTCATAATTCTCTTTGTTTTTTTTTTTTTTAAGTTCCATCAATTTGTCCTAGATCACATTTTGCATCAGCCACTACACTATGCCTACAGTTGTAATGTTTTATGGTCAACACTAGCACAGTATTATGACTCCATTAGTTTAATGCCTGTTCAGAAAACAAAATGCATGTGTGATTCGTTGATCTCTCATGCGTTGTATTCAATCAAGAAAAGTTCAAGCCATTGACTACACTCTTCTTGAGTATCATCTTGGTTTGCTTCTGGAATTATGTCTGTGGTTCAAATAACACGTGGTAGTTATCCTCTATAAATTGAATATTAATTTAATGCCTGCAAGGTAGCCAGTAAATGGTCTTAGTTAGGAAATTCCCTATTGGAAGTCAACCATATGGTTTACTCTGGCTCTTTGATATACTTTTAGGTGGTAGGGAAAGAGTGCTGTGATTTATTTACGTTAAATTCTATAATTTAGGGTTTTCCATCAGCAGATAAGTTTGTTTTTCAACCTCTACAAACTTATGGTTGGTCTATGAATTAGTTTTGATCCCTGGATATGCATGTTATTTTATTAACCAAATAGTAGCACTCATCATTTTGAATTCCCATATCTTAAACCTGGACTTTTGATTGGGTCAGGTCAGCAAGGTCTCTGTCAAGGAGCCATACACCAACTGCAGGATCGCATTTAGCATGTCCATGTGGTTATGAAGGAACAAATTCTATTTCTGATCATGATTGCCGTTCCATTGAAGAGCCCTTGCTTTCAAGGGTGGGTTCTATGCAATCAACACCACCTATGAACACTAAAAATATGCTATGTGTGGTGAGTTCCATAAGCTGTGCAATCATTCATCCTGTTTTGTTCTTTCTTTTAACTTCCTTTGGTTACAGGTATCTGCTTTAACGTTCTTTCTCAGCACCTTTCGTCTCCAGCTTTCTGCAAATAGCAGATTTAGTATGTATTTAGAAAACCAGCCAGGAGGACATGTTATTCGAATTGGAAGGAGGCTTTTACAGGTAAAAAAGCAGTAATTTATTTCCTGTATTTATAATTAGCAAATTTCTATTATCCATACAAAAATTCTAGTCAGATATGGATGAGTTTACTGCCATTTGTGATTCATTTGGTTGGTAGTATTATTACATGTAATTGTTTAGTTGATGGGATACTTTTTGGATCTGTAATTCAATAAACCCCTTGTGCTTTTTGTATGGCTATAATTCAATAGCCTCTTCTGTTGCATTAGTAGATCCTTTCCATCCAGTAATACATTGCACTTTTTTTGAATGATCAGTTTAATAAATATCCTACAATTTATGTCATGAGGAATGTTTATTTTATACTACCTTCTCAACTTTTATTTAATTAATTGATCAACAAATCACTTGAGCGTAGAAAAGGGAGGAAGAAGAAGAGGAAGAGAAAACAGAAGTGGAGAAAAGGAAGTTCAATTCGGAGAGAAAATTGTTGGGAAGTTAGCCCACTCAGTCACTCACTATATTAATATATCATAACGATTAAGATGTCCTCAGAAAAAAAGTAAAATGAGTGATAGATACAATGATAAAAATAACTCTGCACTCCCCCCTCAAACTAAGCATGGATGTTTATCATCCCTAAATTGACACGTAAACCATTAAAATTTGGCTTAAGAATTCCTTTTTCCATCTGATGTCAAAAAAGCTATACACTCTTCACTAGAGTTGACCTTTTCCTGGTAAAGTGTTGATTGACCTCAATATGTTTTGTTTTGTAATATGCTGAAATATTGTTTGCAATGTTAATTGCTACTTGGTTATCAGTATCACAATTTAGCTGTATAGGCTCTTTTACATGTACTCCCAAATCTTTGACCTTGGTTTTAAAAGGCAGCTGAGGCAAGGCGAGAGGCGCATGCCACAAGGCGAGGTGGCCAAATTTTGCCTGGCTTTGGTAGCCTCAGTCTCAAATCAAGGGGCATAAGCCTCAGTTTTAGTGAGGTTTAGGCCTTTGGCCTTTCGCCTCAATTTACATGAGGCGGTAGCCTTAAGTTAAAAGGGTTTGGGGTGGGGAAAACTTGATTGCATCAGGGGTAATTTTGGAAAAAATAAAAGAAAAAGTGAAAACCCCAAAAACTGTAGGTTTCCATCAACCAAAACTGCTATTCCCTCTTTTCAGTTCAACCTAACTCAAGATTTCAAGAAGACTTCTCAGTGTTCTCACAAACCGAACTCAAGAATCAAGATTCAAGAATGTTGGAGGGAGGAAGACAAATCGAATCGTGTGTATAGTGGTACTGGTACAGGTCCTCCTCCTTCTTCTTCTTCTTGAATCGTGCATACTGCATAGTGCGTACAGGTCCTCCACCACTGCCTCCTCTTTCTTCTTCTCCTGTACGAATCCAGATTCAATTAAAATGCATTTCAATATTTCCTGAACTGAAATGCATTCCATAAATATATTGAATCTGGATCAATATTAATTTTTTATTTACTTATTTATTAATTCGCTATTTCAATGAACATGATAAGTTCTGTGATGATACATGTTGCATACAATGAACATGATATTGTTACTTATTAATTTGACTATAGATTTGTTATTCTCATTTGAATCTTTCCTTTCTTTTTTTTTTTGTTGATTTATCCTTGGGTTATTTTTAATACAAATTTTGGCATGTTCAGCTTGATTTCATTAGGTTATTTTTTTTAAATGATTTAGTCGTTTATATTAGACTTACAATATTCATTTTTTTAACTACTTTAGCTCATTTTCCCTAACCTATTCAACCTAATTCTCTTCTGAGATTTAGAAGGAAAAAATAATGGTTTCCATAAACTGATTTACATCATTACATGTTCAAATTTTATATTATAGTTACTAGTTAGTAGTTAGTTACTACTTACTAGTTATCTTAGACTTCATACAAGTAATCTTGAAAAGATATGAACAATCAGCATTGTTGAACTATACATTAAGTCACAAATACTTATATAAAATTTCAATTATATATTTTTTCATAATTTTTAAGTTTTTAGTTTGAGGCTTACGCTTCAAACTGCCTTGAGGCTTACGCCTCGCCTCTTTAGCACCCAACTGTCTCGCCTCCACCTTTAGCCTTTTAAAACCTTGGCTTTGACACTAGATCTTGCCACAGCCTATTGCATCTTATTCAATGTTTATTTTTGTTTTTGTTTTGATAATAGATTTTATAATACTAAAAAAACTAGAAGTTTGATAACCTATCTTATCATACTTTTGGAGCTCAGCTTTCTAGTGTGACTCTACTGCTTCTTGATCTCCTCACCATGTTGAAGACTCTGAAACCTGTTCTCATGACACTTGAGTCTTCGGACTCTGAAGCCTGTCTTCAGTGGTCTTAGGAGCAAGGATAGACTCAGCTGGCCTTCTTGTCGGGCTTGTTACAAAGCCTTCTTGAGATTTTTCTCTTCAACCTTGGGGAGATGTTGAGCCTCGACATTGCATGCAATCATCTCTTTGTGCTTCTCAGCCTTGTCTTCATGCTTCTTGGTGGGTTTGAGATTTGTTTCCCTAAGCTTCTTGGCCTCATCCAACTATACTAGATTATCACCTACAAAGGCACAATAGCTTTATGTGGAATGCCTATTATCTACTGTATCAACCCAATCTGCATTGATAAAAGCCTCCAGATGACCATCTGTATAGAGATTTTCTTTCCTAGAGTGACATTTAAATAGGCAAGAATCCTTTTGATTGCTTCATCATGTGGCACTTGTAGCTAATGCATGTACTGGTTGACAATGTCCATAAAACATGAAATATCTAGAAAAGTAAGGCAGAAGTACAACAACCTCCAAACTATTCTATCTTTGCTACTGGCTCTTGTATTCTAACAAGTCTCTTTTGTAAGTGCTAGGATTAGGATCAATAGGATAGCAGCTGGATCAAAGTTTTCAAGGTGCCAAGGCAAGGCTAGGTGGCAGGGGGGGCGCCTTGTCACCTAGGCAATGGATTTCTTCAAGTAAAAATATGTATCCTAGGGTTCCCTAGGTTCCATAACCATATTTCCTTATTATCCATAATTTTCATGATAAAAGTATAAACTCCATGCTAAAAGTATAGAAAATCAACATATTCATGAGAAAAACAAAGAAGAAAGAAAAGAAATTTCAAAAAATATAAGGGCTGAACCCCTATTTCTGTTATAGGAAAATAAGAAAAGAAAAGGTGGAAGAAGAAAATTTGTATATAGTATAAGATGTAAACCAGTCCTCAAAATAAGTGTAAACTTAAAAAAAATTAGGAAGAAAAAGGAGGAAGAAAAGTAAGAACAGCAGTACAAGAGAAGAAGATGGAGAAAAGAGGAGGAAGAAGAAGAATGGTTCGAATAATCCTTCCCTCCCTTCTCTAATCCTTTTTACTAAAAATTAATGTTAAAATAATTACAAGTATGCCCTTAAGTGGGCGGCCAGCTAGGCAGTAACATAAAGAGATCAAACAAAAAGAAATAACATGTCCATTAGCTAAGGAAAATAGAAAAAAAAATATTACAAGAGAAGATACTAGGACCCATTCGGCCCAGTCTCTTTACACTCCTCCTCAAGCTGAGCATAGATGTCAATCATGCCCAGCTTGCTTATATAGTGTGTCATTTTCCCTCTCGGAACTCCCTTGGTCAAGATATCAGCCAATTGTTCTTCTAATGTGATGAATGGCAAACAAACTTCTCCTGAGGAAACTCTTTCCCTTATAAAATGTCTATCAACCTCAATGTGCTTAATTTTGTCATGTTGAACAGGATTATGTGCAATATTGATAGTTGCTTGGTTGTCACAGTAGAGCATCATTGGTTTCTCATAGTTAACCCCCAATTCTTCTAAAAGGGATCGTAGCCACAGTAATTCTGACACACCATGTTCCATTGCCCTGTATTCTACTTCAGTTGGATCTAGCAACTATAGACTGTTTCTTACTCCTCCATGGCACAATGTTCCCAGTGACCAGAGCACAATAACCCGAGGTGGATCTCCTATCATCAATACATCCTGCCCAATCAACATCAGTGAAAGCTTTCAGCTTTATATGTCCATGTTTGGCAAATAGAATACCTTTCCCTGGAGTACCTTTCAAGTAACACAAAACCCTTTCTACAGTAGCTAAATGAGTTTCTCTGGGAAAATGCATAAATTGACTAATAACACTTACTACATAGGAAATGTCCGGCCGAGTCATGCAAAGATATAATAACTTCCCAAGCAGTCTATGAAACACCCCCTTATCAGATAAAAGSTCACCATCTGTAGCAGAAAGCTTATGATTGGGATCAATAGGAGTGGAGATTGGTTTAGCTCCAARTTTACCAGTCWCARCAAGGAGGTCAAGGACATATTTACGCTGAGAAATGAAGATACCATCCTTAGATCTAGCAACTTCAATGCCCAAAAAATATCGAAGATCTCCCAAATCCTTGATCTCGAATTCAGCGTTAAGAAATCTTGAGGTTATTGACCTCTTGAGTGTCATTACCCGTGGCCACAATATCATCAACATAAACTATCATAAAGGTCACCAGAGAGCCATTTCTCTTCAAGAATAGGGTATGATCAGATTGAGTTTGTGTAACCAAAGGAGACAAGAGCAGCCCTGAACCTCTCAAACCAAGCCCGAGGAGACTGTTTGAGACCATAAATAGATTTTTGCAGTTTACACACCTTGCCTTGCATTTCCTTCCCATACACCCCTGGAGGCAAAGACATATAGACCTCTTCATGTAGGTCTCCATTCAAGAAGGAATTTTTAACATCAAACTGGTGTAAGGGCCAATCAAAAGTAGCGGCTAGAGATAACAAAACCCGGACTGAGGTCATCTTAGCTACAGGAGCAAATGTCTCAAGATAGTCAATACCATACATCTGAGTGTAGCCTTTAGCAACCAGCCTAGCCTTAAACCTCTCAATAGAGCCATCAGAGTGATATTTAATGGTAAACATTCATTTACAACCCATTGGTTCCTTCCCTTCAGGCAAGTCAACAATATCCCAGGTATGGTTCTTAT